TATTCGACCTCTTCATTCACCCGGATCTTGAAGGCCGGTTGCGTCACGACGATCTCGGGGGCGAGATCGTTGGCTCCCACTGTGGTCGCCAGCTTGTTTTCGGTAAAAGTCGCTGTTTTCATTGATATTCTCTTTTTGAGATCTGTTACAACTTCAAGCGTTACAACAGAATAAAATGAAAACAAAAGATATTACAACTTAAACGAAAATAAACACGAGGTCCCGGTTTGGTGCGGTCTCGCTTGCGTGGGTTGTTGGCCTGTGACGGGGATGTTGATATCCGTGGACCGCCGACTCTTCAAGATCTCTTTTCCGGTATAATCCGGCAGAGTTTCGTCTATCCGCGAAGGGATATAGAAACAGAACCCCGTCGATCCGCGTGAGATCTCAGAGGTGTAAAGCTTATGTCTCGGCTAAAACGAGGCACTAGCTCTCCTTTGTATCACCGCTAAGGGCAACACTAAGGGAAAAGAAGGGGGGTGAATGAAGGGCTGATGAAGAAATCCTTACTCCTCAATCCGGCAGGGCTTCGCCGCTCTCTTAGAAAACCCCGACTCCTTCCTCCGGCAGGGCTTCGCCGCTCCTCTCTGGAATTTCAGATCTCAAAGGCTAAAGCTCTAGATCTGAAATTTCTCTCCCAAAACCAAGGCCAAGAGAATGGAGGCCCTAGGGGCCTATTTATAGGAAAAGGAGAGGGGTAGGGGGCTGGTTGAGGACACCCCCTAGGGGGGTGTCTCGGCTCCAAAACCGAGACACCCCTTGGGGTGTCTCGGCCATGGCCGAGACACCCCCCATGGGGTGTCTCGGCCGGGGAGAGGTAACGTGGTCTTCCTTCGCATTATCATCCGAGGGACCGCCTCCGTTATTATTGTTGACAGGAGGGATATTTATGTTGACATTATCCTCTTCCCGTTCATTCTCATCTTGATTCGGATTATTGCGACGACTGGGTTCTCCTTGGTGAGTTGTCAGTGCCGCGATTTGCTGGTCATGCATCTCTCTCATCTGTTGCATGGTCATCTCCATCTCGAACTTGAAACTTTCCTTCTGCTTAGTCAGGGCCTCTTCAAGCATCTTGGTTACTTGTTCGGCGCTGATCATAAGTGACTCGTAGGGTTGTCCTGCACTAGATGTCGTGTCGTCGGACGCTATAGCCAAGCGGAATCTGAAACCATCATCTGACACCTCCTCTTCCAAAGGAAGTCCCTTTTGCATCCTTTGGTAATTCCTTCGCCTATTGGTCCCTGAACGCAATCGAGTCATATGCTGGGATATTTCAGCAAACTGATCTGGGCTAAAGAGTCGTGTCGATTTGCCTCTGCCGGTCATATTAGCAGACACTTCTAGGAATTCGTCCTCTTGGCGGACAGGCTTCTTCCTACGGAAACGCCTTGGCTTGTTCTCGGACGTTCTGGTGGAAATTCTCTCGAACACCGAAACTCTCCTTGGGGCTTTAGAACAGCAGCATTCTGACAATACCGCCTTGATTATGTTGGCACACGGACAGTGAGACTCCGTGTCTTGAGCGTCTCTCTTTCGAGACTTACCCGCACTCCCGGCTCTATAGTACAACTCGTCAGTTTGATAACTGGAGCAACCCATAGAGTGCTGGCATGACTTTCCAGGTATAACACTATCATTTTCAGACGAATGTGCTTCCCTCTGGGGATACGACGCTTTATTAGCGTTCTCAAGAGTCGCACGTTCAAGTTTACGCTTCTGCGAGCGTGAAAACCTAACGGGCTCCTGAACTTCGACACGCAATCTAATGCGGTCGGTAGCAATGGCTTTCCCTTTGTTATCTTTCTTGGGGGATTGGTACGACCCCCAGTCTGGACTATTGTTTGGGGACCCTTCAATGGCCCCAATCGCTCTTTCACGGGCATTTTACCTCGATTTTCCAGTAAAGGACCGAGGCAAGCTTTCAAAGGAACTCTGGATCTTGTGGGACCCACGTTCTTACTTGGATCCGTCGGAGGTACAGGAACAGGGGGAACGGGATCTGGATTTGAAGGAGGCTGGACGGTAACTCCGTTCATTTTCATCTTAGGTGTTGGTCTTGCCTTTGGCACCCACACCTGCTTGTGTCTAGGCGGCTTCTTGACCGTCTCTTCTTTCTGCATCTCTTCTGCTTTCTGCAGAAGGACTCGGGCATGCGCGAGCAATGCGCGGCGTTTCTTGATTCGCTCTTCGAGAGTGGAGCGATTCTTCTTGACGCGAACACATTCGTTTGTCTCCATCTTAGAGGAGAAGTTGGCGATTCGCCGTTGTTGTTCTTGGCGTTGTCTGGACTTTAGATCATCATTGTACCGGATCCCGTCCATCGACTCTGCGGCCTTGGCCAATTGTCGTGCGAGGCGTTGACGACGTCTTTGGTGCGCCCTCTTCGACAAAGTTGGAGCACCTTCAGCGGTCACCTTCACGGCGGAGGGGAGATCTGGATCTACAGCTTCGACCACGTTAGACGTCATAGGAGCGTCGCGGGGAGTAAGTGCAGTTACGGCGAGGGGATCTCGGATCTTCGAGCCGGAGGTCCCGTGAACATTTCTGGAAGAGGATGCCTTCCTACGCCTGTTTGGAGAGGCGGATCTGGAGGAGGAGGAAGAGAGGTACTCTTCGAACTTCTGTTGATCGAATTCATATTCGATCTCTTCGTTCACCCGGATCTTGAATGCCTGTTGCGTCACGACAGCCTCGGCAGCGAGGCTGTTGGCTCCCACTGTGGTCGCCAGTTTGTTTTCGTTGAAAGTTACCTTAGTCATTGATTTCATTAAACTTTAGTTACAAATGAATTCAAACAACAAAAGAGTAAAAGATTACAACTTTCTTGAAAATAAACACAAGATCCGTTCGTCGTCTCTTGCTTGCGTGGGTCTTTAGCCTGTGACGGGGATGTCGATATCCGTGGACTACCTGGCAATCAGATCAGGTCCAGAGCTTCGTCGATCCGCGAGGAGATCTAGAAACAGAAGCGCTTATCTCGACAAAAGCGAGATAATTGCTCTTCTTAGAATTATCACAACGGGATAATACTAAGGATTGGATGCGGGTGATGTAGATCTGACGACTTTCGATCTCTTGTGTTGAAGAACTCGATCACTCTTCAGTTCGGCAGGGCTTCGCCAATTCTCCAAAATTCCAGATCCGAAAAAATGAGGCTCCGGGGCTTCTATTTATAAGCACGAGGAGATAACAGACGGTTAAAATCGCATAAGGGCCCAAATCTGCGTTGGAGACACCCCAGAGTGTCTCCACCTGAGCTGAGACACCCAAGGGTGTCTCGGCCATGGACAAGACACCCTAGGGTGTCTCGGCTTTGGCCGAGACACCTTGGGGTGTCTCGCTTGGCCGAGACACCTCGAAGTGTTGAGACGCCGCTTTTTTCGTATGTTTGTTCGTTTCCGTCGTAACTTCTTCGTCCGAACTCGGATTTGAGTGGTTCAAAGTGCGTTGGAAAGCCGACAAGGATTTCTATCAGTTCCAATGGTTGGATCATCTGTAGAATGAATGAGACACAAAGGGTATTGTTCTTTTTGTAAACATCGCGGGGCTCCCGATTAGCCCGTACCTTCGTTATTCCGAAATTCTGTTAGTCCTAAACATCGCGGGGCTCCCGATTAGCCCGTACCTTCGTTATTCCGAAATTCTGTTAGTCCACGTAGTTCTTCGATTCACTTCAAACGTTCACCGACATCAATCGAACTCCTGTGAACCGGATAGTGACGTTCATCGTTGTTCCTTAACACTGAGCTGTTCGTGGAGACCTATAGGCAATTTTTGATGCCTACAGTAAGGAGCCTTGAAGCACAAATCCGACAAGGGCAAATTTTTCACTCATCGACTCCACTATCCCACTCAGATTCATCAAATTGTATGCATTTAGGATCTGCAAACTGTTGGTATATAAAAAGAGATATTTAATCCATTCTCTTTTTGTCGATTGCCAGTGACAACGGATGCCCACGATGACTTGGATTGATTAGGAGCTAAGTCCTCTTTAGTACCAGCAAAACCGTCTTGAGAAGAATTCCCTTGAGAGATGGTTGTCTTGTCTTGATTCATATTGACTTAGCTAACCAGATCTATAGTAGGGAGGAGGAAGAAGAAGATAGGTGCATGTTAGCAAGAAGGGTTAACATGCACCGAGAATTGCCTCCTAATTGCGCTTTACTAGCTAACTTTTTTACTCATGGAAGTATTGGGTTATTTTTGTATTTGTAGTCAACTATATGATATCAAATTCATATTGTTCTGTAAAAATATTACAGCTAGTTTGAAGTTATAGGGTAACCTTGGCAACTCTCCTTTAGAAGCAAAACGAAAACCAATTTGAGTTTAATCCATGGAAGAGGTGGGACAATCTTGGTCAAATTTAAGTTAAAAGTTGGCCTACAGAAACCAATAATTAAGTTATGATCAATCCGATTATTTTCTATCCAGGATTAGTCTTGAACTAAATTTTATTCCACCAAGCCCGTTAATTAATTCAACTTACCAAACAGGCTCATACATAGTCTTTCGTGAACGACTATATCACTTTTTCTTCAACTAAATATCCCCAGAAAATATTGTATGTCATTAAATAACTATAGATTTTTTTTAAGCAAGTATACCAATTATCTCAATGGTAATGTTAAATTTTGGTTATAGATGAAAATTCACTCAAGTAAGGTTGGTAAAGACAAATTTTCAAAAATAAAAACATAACCTTAACAAGATTAACCAAAATATTAAATAATTATTATTTTCTTTAGTAAGTTAAATTGATACATGGTTGAAACCAAACTTTACTGTGATGAATTGGTAATACAATCCTACAAATCTTTTTTAATTTATACTCAACAAATGAAGTACATCTCTGCATATTTAGGGACGTCAATTAGATTAAACTTCTTGTGTGTATGTGATAATGAAAGGAATATTTGATATTCCATGTGATAAGACATAAGATCTCTGACCATGAGTCCGAGAGAGAGAGAGAGAGAGAGAGAGAGAGAGAGAGAGAGAGAGAGAGAGCATGCCATGAGTGACATGATTGCCTTCTCTCTCCTCCTTATTATAGGGTCTTTGTTGGAAAGCCTTCGGATTGAAGGCACAAATTTCAATCATGGAAGAGGAGGTATAATCATCTCCCTGTAATTGCAGACAAGTGCAAAAGCTAGCTAGCTATCTAGCTTCATACAAATACTTAACAAGGGTGAGAAAGAAAAAGACTGTCTAGAGAGAGAAAGAGAGATGTGTCATATGCTCCCCTTGTCTTTAATTTCAGAGCTGCAGAAAGTTCTTCCTCAAAAGAAAGAACTGATCTAGAGAGAGAGAGAGAGAGAGAGCGGGGGAGGAGATAGAGAGACAGAGACCCTTTGCTTCACTTCAAAAGAGAGATTTTGAAAGAGGAAAGTTAGTGAGAGTAGAGGAAAGTTATGTGCACATACCTGAAATTATTTCTTTTGAGCCAGTAGAGTTCTTTGAGACTCCACAGCCCTAGCTTTCTCATCTTGGGACTATCAAACTCTCAAGCAACCTTTTCTTTCTGTGATCCCCTACTTTCTTTTTTTCTCGTAAAAAGAGATTATTATCATGATGGAGTCTTCAAATCTCAATCTAGATCTCCATCACCAAGAAGACTTCCATGGCTCATCTTCCTCCTTAGCACTCCAAGGGTGGAACCAAGATCTCATGTTGTAAGTCAAAATCCTAGCTGCTTCAATAATATGTCTCAAATATATTTATTTTAGAAGAATATATCTCTCAAGCAGTTATGTTACTTGTTTGTTACTTACTTTGTCGACTTTGTCTTTAGTCATTTGATATTTGTTGTAAGTCCAAATTATATCCATTTCAATAATATCTCAGATAACTACGTTATAATATATATGCTACTCGTTTCTTGCTTGTTCCCTTTGTCTTGTTCTTTGCTTATTTAAGGCCATTTAATCTCTTGCTAAAAATTCCTAGGATTTGGACTTTTCCTGCATGGGTCGTTCAAACCCTAGAACTAATAATCAAAACCCTAGGGCTTGCTTCTTCTCTCCATTTTTTATAAACATGTGAAATGTTTTTATGCAGAAATAGTGCTGAATTCCCTCATGGAGCTCTCCCAAGCTCAAGAAACTTCATGAGAACGACAAACAATGGCATGCCAATGGTCCAAGAACTTGGGTTTCAGTGGACCCCATCCGGTCATGATCAAGGTTACATGATGAACACGAACCAGTCACCATGTTCTTCCTCCTCCTCTCACCAAACCCTAGGGTTTCCAATACCGAAGAATAATATAAAAGAAGAGTTATCGATAGCGAGCACTATCAATCTCCATGACTATAGCTTGATGCCTTTTCATGGAAGCTTTAGTAATGTGTTTCCAAGTGAGAATGTTTCGGGTTCAGTTTTGCAATCTTTCTGCCCAAATCCATTAGGCATGGACCTTCACGCTCTGGATCTCTTGGCTTCGGCTAGATTTGGAAGAACAATGTCTCAGCCTTTATTTGACGGTTATGGACTTGGACAGTTGCAAGAACAAGCTCAAGCACAAGTTTCTACTAGCTATCACAAGGTTAGCTACACTTTATTACTATACTAGTATATGTATTTTGTATAATATATTTTTGTTGATATTATTCGTAATACATGTATAAGAATACGAATGGTACTAAATGTGTATCAATAACAAAGTTTTTGCAGTATGGAAAGTTTCCACTAGCTATATACTATATATACTAGAATACTTAGGGGTCCAGATTCTCTGCAATCTTGATTGTAGCAGAATTTTATCGATATAACATGTAGGAAAAGAAGAATATATGGTAATAAAATTGTGGCAATAATAATAATTTATTGAATTGTGGGGAGTATGGTTGAGAATATAATTTACTACTTAAAAAATAAAAGTTGTGTAGCAATAATATAAAGGATAGCAAATTATGAATAAAACTATGGTTTTTTTTTTTTGGTCAATGAAAAAAGCTTTATTCATTTACCAAAACTATGGTATTAGTAATAACAATAAGAGATTATAGTTCTTTTTGAGGAATTTTATAGCCAGAGCTGAATTTCAGCATTACATATATCTTAACTTCCAAAAGAATGTTGTTGATATTTATGTAGCATCATTGTTACTGATGTTATATAATACACAAGACAATTTGACATGTAGCATGGCTTTATTATTATTAAAATTTGAAAATACTAAACAATTAAGTCTTCTAGTTATGTTGAAAAACGTTTGAAGCTTTGTTGAATCAAAAAGCAAGATCATACCTTTGATATGATGTAGTTAACTTTGCTATTCAACAAAGCACAACTTTTTCAGCTTTATGAGTGATATGATTCATCTTTTTCCCCCTTTCTCCTCCAAAAGCTAATCTTTGCAAAAGATGTAGGGTTTTGTGCAAATAAACCAAACTAATAATTTGATGCTCTTTCTCTTTTACTATTGGAAGGCTCCACATTCTGTAAGTGGAGTTACAGAAGCAAAGAGAAGCAACAGTTTGGATGGAGGAACATCACAACCAGCTTCATTAACAAAGAAACCTCGCCCCCCCCCCCCCCCCAAAAAAAAAAAAAGAAAAATGATATACAACTGATGGTCAATATACTTTCAGGATTACATTCAAGCTTAGATTTGAAAAAAAATTATTTTATTTTCCCCTTAATAATAGGTACGTAAGGAGAAGCTTGGTGATAGAATTGCAGCTCTTCAGCAATTAGTGGCACCTTTCGGCAAAGTATGTGTCATATGATATTTTCTCTTCATTTTCATATATTAAATTGTACACATTAAAACATTAAGGAAACATGAATTTTCTATCATCTATTCAATTAAATCATTATTGATTTTGAATTTGGCTCATTTATATAGACTGATACAGCATCAGTATTGATGGAAGCTATTGGATATATTAAGTTTCTCCAAGATCAAGTTGAGGTAATTAATTTTCTCATGCGATAAAATTAACATTGAATGAATTAATTTAAATATGCATGATATTTTTTTTCAATTTAATCTGTATTTAAATTGATTATCACTTATCAACGATCAGACAAACTAGGCATGACCATTACTATATTCACATTATACTTACCAAATTACACGTCATACCTACCCAAAAATTGTTATGCTTAATTATTTCGTATTCTAGGGGATTAATGATATGTGATGAAATTGGATAATTCAAATTCATTGCGAAGGTAACATTTTCCTAACCAAGAAATGAGGTCCAAGTTGCTTTCTCATCGGACTCAACATAAGAAATTAGTGCACCTGTAACGAGTAAAGATCTTTATTAATGTGGTTTTTTGTTTAATCTAGATTTGGATAATTCAAATTCATTGCGAAGGTAACATTTTCCTAACCAAGAAATGAGGTCCAAGTTGCTTTCTCATCGGACTCAACATAAGAAATTAGTGCACCTGTAACGAGTAAAGATCTTTATTAATGTGGTTTTTTGTTTAATCTAGATTCCAAGTTGCTTTCTCATCGGACTCAACATAAGAAATTAGTGCACCTGTAACGAGTAAAGATCTTTATTAATGTGGTTTTTTGTTTAATCTAGATTCCAAGTTGCTTTCTCATCGGACTCAACATAAGAAATTAGTGCACCTGTAACGAGTAAAGATCTTTATTAATGTGGTTTTTTGTTTAATCTAGAT